GCGTTCTATTGCAAAGTCCCTGCCTAGTATTCAAGTTTAGCATCAGCATCACTGGTGTTCCCTCTTTCAACCGCAGTTTATGAGATGGTAGCCCGCTAATTGACAGGGAGTGGAGAAATCCAGGAGGATAGAGGTCATTCCTCACGTCGTGCTCTAGCTCGTCCGAACCGTCGATACTGTCGACAGAGGTGAATTCCTGCAAAACCCCAGGAGTCCAGAATCATTTCATTTAACGCGATAACGTCTTGGTTCTTAGGTGCCAAAATTACACGGTCAGCAAAGAATTGATTGGCCAAGTCACCCGCGTCGGAGAGATCACCATAAACCTCCCCGATCAACTGTTTCAGTCTAAATGCCTCGTTGTCTTCCTGAGCCGGTGAATCCGCTGCTGTTGTTATTATCATGTCCGACGGAACTTTCACAAAGTCGGATCCCAATTCGGGGGCTACCTCATGTCCCCCATCACCCACCTCCAGTAAAAAGTCAGCGAACTCCTGAGTTTCAGCAGCAGTCAACGGGCCCCTCGCAGTGGAAACCCTCATATTGGTCTCGAGTTTCAAGGTCTTAAAAGCAGACCACAGCCCTGATTTCTCAGGGAGGCAGCAATTACCTCAGCGGGGCCGGCACGTTTAACTACAGGAAGCGTCTGGCGAAAGTCATCCGATAAAAGCAGCGTGACGCCACCAAACAGCAATTTGTTGCCACGAATGTCTTGCAATAATATATTCAAGGCCTCAAACTGAAAACGATGGGTCATAGGAGCTTCGTCTCATACGATTAAAGTCGCCTCTCGCAGCAGATCAGCCAGCTTAGACTACTTTGGAATGTTACAGGTAGATGTTTCATCAGGATCCAGAGGCAGCCTAAAGGTAGAATCAGCCGTTTTCCCTTCTGTCAGAAGCGTCGCAGCGATTCCGCTACCCGCAACCGCAATAGCTATCTTTTTCATTCGTCGAACAGAGGCGAGAATAGCTTCAAGCAGAAAAAACTTCCCGGTCCCTCCTGGTCCATCCAAGAAAAATACCCTATCTGACGTTTGTTCAACCTCGGAGGTCTGTAGGGGCGCATTAACCTTTGCCGTCGTATGCAGCCTGCTGACCATTGTTGAAGGAATCCATAGAGGCTAAGACTGGATCAAGGTCTGAATCATTATACCCGAGCTCATTATCGATGAGACAGTTATGGTCCCCGGAATATGACTGAGAGTCCTCAACGTCCGTAAACTCTGACAGCTGTGGGAGAGATGGATAAGCGGCCAACGTGGTCCCGTTACTGATCAGGTGTTCGTTTACTTGAGTGATCGCTTTCAATAGCACACGGTGATCGGAAACGTCCGTTGCTGGGCGCATAACGAAGTCTTCACACATGGACTCTAAGTGGTTTTCCCACGACGGCGATCAGAGGCCCTTGCTTCCAGACAATGCGTTACTCCTCCCCCGTAAACGACGACGACGGGCAGGACCTTCTTCTTCTGGCGGTGTGGCGTAACGTCGCCCAATAGCAACGCGCTCTATTTGTGTCTCGGACAGAGGCTCCGCTGCATTGTCGGAAGCTGCAAGCCTGCGATTGACCTGCCGCCGCTCTAACCTCGCCCGCGCTTGGCGAACGTTTGCCTTACGCCGTGCGCGAGCTTGTCGACCTTCGTAACCCGGAGGGGTGGCGTACTTAGCCTCCAAGGCCCTTCACTCTTCTTAACTATCCATCTGCACACTTAAGCGCAAATTCCGAAATGAAGTTGTCTAGAGGCTTCTTATAACAGCGCAGCAATTTCATGGCGCAAAATAATCAAATGACGCGGCCGCATCATACTTATGCTTTTAGCGACACTTCATGGAACTGGTCCTACCCTTCCCACATCTGTATTTGTGTATTTTTGTCGAGCATACCTAAAAAATTAGATTTTTACTAAAAGAAACTACCAAAAGGAACAGCCCAGTTTTATTCCAAGTAATGGGTTAAGGCTACAGACTAGAACACCCTATTCGGTGTCGTAGGTCAAGTCAATGACCGATTCGTCGTCGCTGGGGTCGAACGTGTCAAACCACGGTTCGTCGTCGCTGTTGTCGCTTTCTTCTTCGTCTGTGCCGAATAAATCGCGAGAGTGAAGTTGGCGCTGCAGCGAATCGATCGTGGCGTACGCATCTCGTAGCTCTTGCAGCAAATTTTCAATCTCGCTCCCCATGGTTTCGTGCAGGTCGAGGCATCGAGAGTACTTGTAGGACGGTTGTTGTAGTCGTCGTCGTCGCATTCACGCTTGAAATCCGTAGTAGTTGATAGGAGAAAGCCAAATGAAAAGTGACAGTTTGATATTTAAGGACTTTGATGCGCAATAGCGCGCTCTAGCCGACTACGCCGCCTGAAAATGGCAACCGCCGTCTGCAGTAAGCTGCTCCCAGTTTCAGACCGACAGAGCGCCAGTCGCCGGTACTAATGATCAGAATTTGTGATGGGGATTTGAAATGTGCATGTATCTGTCTTGTCCAACCTGTTGTAACACTCAAATCATGTGAAACTGCGTGTATCCGCTAGTATTGCACAAGCAGATCATCACCTCTGATCAGCTTGCATTCAAGTACTGCCTCCCTTGTCTGTATGATATCTTCAAATCCTGCGCCCTGTCAGATATCCTCTTACCCATCATATTTCATCCTCTAAAATAGCCTACTCACACCACCCACTAATAAAGTGGTGTCCACAGAGCAGCCTATACGAATCTTACCACTTTGATTGGCTGACACACGCTCAGCCAGTGAACAGCCCCAAGGAGCGTGACAGCTCTGTAAACAGGTGATTGACGGTACCCCATAGTGAAGGGAGGGGAGGCGTTAGCAACTTATATATATAGATGACTAAACTGTTTGCGTTAATAGGAGACCACACGCACGGACAACTACCAATTTACTTATGTATAAATATATGAATTAGTCAACTTCAGACTAAGTGTCCAAGTTTACTGTGAGTTTGAGTGTGTTGATCAGCTAGAGATCGGTATTATCTATAATGAAGTCATGATTATCTAAACCTCATCCTATTTACTCATTCGCTTTCAAAGCCGTTTCACTGAAAACAGAAATATAAAAATTGCATTCTAACATTTTAATTGTCGCAAAT